TTGTACATGGGGGCATCTTATTGACGGAAAAATATGGTACTATGGTAATTAAAATAAAGGTGAAAAAAGAGGGAATATAGTTAATTAACAGGAAAAAAAGAAAAAAATCTATGTAATCTATTGGTATCTATATAGATTAATTCAATTCTAAAATTTATCATTAAATCGATAATACAGAAACATATTAAATCCTTACTATACAAACATAATCTTTTTATTTTTAGAATACAAAGATTCTATATCCTGAATCCATTCCTTAAAATTAGGATACATTTCTTTCCATTTATGTAAAATGATCCTCTTTGCCACAATGCAGCCTCAGTAGAATCAAAGCTCGTCGTGAGAGAAAAAAAATCCATGTTTTAGGAATATAGTTCAACATCTTGTTAAAGTAACAATCACATTTCTTTCATAAAAGCAATGATTTGAAACTAAACTAAACCAGAGCTATACCTATAGCTGAACAAGACCAGATCATATGAGCAAAAAGCCTTCAGTTATCTTACAATGTCAGCATAAAACATTCTAATATCGAACTCTTTTAAAAAGTTATTTGGGGGGACCAAAAAACAACAAATAATATTTTCTGATGGATTAATTTCATGTTTTAATTTATAAGAAGTATATTTTATGTTTTACCTGGACATATTGATTCTCCAAAACTGGATATTCAAGTATAAAACTAATACATCCTGAAAGGGGTAATAATACCTAATTTTTCTTTTTGTTTTTCATCAATAAAAGGAATTCATGGTGAAGGTATATAGGTCACGTAAAAGCTATGATCTACATGACCTTAGATAACCAACATTATCTTTATTTAGGCCAAAGTTTTTTTGGGGGGGGGGGTTTGGAAATTGGAAATGTTTGGCATTTAAAATACTGGAAATCTAAAATCCCATCTTTTTCACTATTGTAAGCGTGACTTTCTGAAGCAACAATTGTGTTATGCTATTTCTTAAAACAAAACTGTTTCCTGGATAACATGGACTAAAATAGTTGAAGCCAAATTTAACAGGGCCATTTAAGTTTTAGGATATGCTGGGGTAAATAGATAATCTTTAGCTATTCTTTAAAATCTAATGTGAGGGGGTCTGCCTCAGTTTCATTGGAAGTTATGGAAAAGACCTTCTAAAAACATGCCATAATAACCCTCACACAGGAAGGACTGGCAGCAGATGTCAGATTGTGGTGTGATCAGTATTAGGTGAGGTCCTATCTCAGATAACTAGGTCCAGAACTGTTTAGGGCTTTAAAGGCACTTTAAATTCGGTCCAGTATACTTAAATTATTGGCAACCAGTGCATCATTTACAGAGCAGGGGGAATGTACGTCCATCCTACAAAAAGGGCATTACAACAATCCAAATTAGAATTTACCAGTGCACGCACTACTGTTGTCATGCTATCTTAATAACTGCTTTTTACAAACAGCTTCACATTTAGTTTAAAAAATGCCAATTCTGGTTTGAATAGTCTTAACAAATGTCTATGAAAATCTTAATTTCTTAATTTATGTAACAAGCAAACAGATGCAACTGCTTGGCCAACTGATTGAAGGACAATACCTATACTAACTTTAATTTAATCAGAAATTAATGCAGATAACAGTTGGTTGCAGATATCATGCAGGTCTAGATATGGTTCGTGAGGACATCTCTTCAGGGGTGGAGCTTAGGACACAGTACTGCAGTCATTCTAACAAAAGTAGTAAGCACTCCTGAGGACACCATTGCAAGAGGAAGCAAAAAATACACAAAAATAATGTATATAAATGATCAGGACTATCAAAACTTGAAATTGGGACTGAAAATTTGAACAGTCAAATTGACAGAAACTAGTCACTGCCTTAGCAGGGAGTAGCATCTGGATTCAGAAGCTCAGCAGATTTGGGCCTGGTTAGTAACTGGACAGGAGATCTCCAGGGAATACCAGAGCTATAGGCTTTTCCAAACTATGTTTGAAAACTTCATGGGGTTCTGTGAATCTAAAGGCCAAAAAAAAAAAAAAAAAAAAAC